TCATCAACATCAACGAGGACCCTCATCAGTACGCATACCGTGAGAACCGATCAACAGAGGACGCCATCTCCTCTGTGGTCCACACTGCACTCAACCACCTGGAGCAGAAGGACTCCTACGTCTGTATGCTCTTTGTGTACTTCACATCCGCCTTCAACACCATGATCCCCCAAACCCTGATGGACAAACTATCCACACTAGGACTAGGCCCCTCCATCTGCAACTGGGTCCTGGACTTCTTAACAAGCAGACCACAGTTAGTGAGGATCCACAACTTCTCTTGTTATGGGTCATCTACCTGTATGTGATGTTGTGGTGCGTCCACTTTTGTCCTAGAGGGTTGATGGCGTAGCGTTTGGTTCTGGTTCCTCGGGTGGAGAACATCTCTGTAATTCTGCTGCTGCCACATGTCTGAAAAACAAATCAATTATAAACTTTGCACCGTTTCGCTCGCCTGCAGGATCATCACATGTTGAGAAATGTTTCAGGTGTTATGGTCAAACTTTTAAAAATAACATTATGTGTGATCTGTTAGTGCTCAACGTTTTTGTTCGGCATGACTCTCAGCTACCACCACACCAAATTTTAACCGAGTATCTGTAAAACTGTTTCGATAAAATCTATTGAAATGTGTGTGGCTGACAAGATATATTCCTAACAGACAAACCAAGACAAAAACATTATCGCCCACAAAGACCTTCAGATCTGCCGACGTCCACAGGTGGTGCTGCTGTGACGGACTCGGGTCAGAACTACCGGTTTGTTTCGTTTGTTCCAGGAAACGCTCAGAAGCGTCTGGGTGTTTAGTCGGGCGGTCTCGCTCAGATCTGAAACACATCTGTCTGTTTTATGTGCTGCTCTTTGATGGCTCCCCTCTGCATGTCTGCCACCCACATGGGACCCGGGCTCTGAGCCTCCTCTGTTCTTCCACGTCGGTCCGAAACACATTTCACTCTGAACCTCAAACTCTGACACCACAACGCTTCGGTCCAGGCAGCGAGAGGTCAAACTGAAACTTACAGCCTGAACAAGCAAACATGAGTCCAACAAACAGATACTCTTTGTGGGCTGAAGATGCCTCTGAAGGCTCAAATTACAAACCAGAACCTTCTGGACCCCCACCTCCTTCCAGACTAAACACCAGGGATCTGCTCCAAGACTGAAAAGTCCTCCTACATCCTTTCAGAAGCTTCTGTAAAGAATAAATAAATACTGAGCTGTGGCTCGGTGACACAGTTGGAAGAGCTGCCACCTCTCAGTTAGAAGGTCGCCGGTTCAAATCCCAACTGGGGGGG